TCAAAAAAGATCTGAAACCTTTCTTCTGCGTTCAATTGAGTACAATCTGATGGTGTTGTTAAAAGTAAGGAGGCAAGTCGAGAGAATGTAAATAAGATGCAATTTCTTTCAATTCTTTCGAAAGTGAATGATGGTCGGGAATCAATCATTCTTGAAAGAGTAAGTCGAATGTAATTTAATTTAAGAAGTTAAATATTTGCAAGATTTTTCACTTGTGTTCATAAATGAAACGAGAAACTGAAGATAACCTCGATGAGTTATCTCGGTCTAGAAATCTCCAAGTAAGCAGTAACATAATCAGAATGCAAATAAGCTTTATTGAAACATCCTGCGATTAAGATAAGAGAAACTACTGTGAATCGATATTTGATACGTATAATGATCGATGATCGATATTGAGAAAAGAAAAGAAGAGAGAGAGAGAAAAAAAAAAAAAAGGAAAAAAAAAGAATGAAATTCGCATGAAATCGAAATAATATTTAATATTTATTAGGACGATTAATTTATGTATACCGGTTCTTGAACGTTTAATGAAGTAACGTAGTCGTATATCAATTCCGATCCGGCATAACGTGATCTATAAATCAATTGTTCGAACGGTGTAATAGCTTCCAATATTAGTTTCATTTATTTATTTGGACAAGGTGAATTGACTATTCATTTATTGTCATCGCGACTTACATTCTTTTTTTTTTTTTTTACGATAATGAGAAGCTAAGAAATAAAATAAAAAGTAAGTGAATAAAGATTCAAATTACTTTTATCTTTGCAAATTTAACACCGAGATCGAAACTTTCAAAACTAAGAAATCGGAGAAAGGATGATTCATATTGAAAGTTGATTACAGTTTACTCCAATCTAAAGACGATAGCGCTAAGGGTTGATAAAGCGGAAGATGAATCATTCTCAATTTTCCTTATCTTTCGAATACAAAATTTACCAAGAATTTAAAAAAAAAAAAAAAATAATTGATTTCCGATATTGCGTTCAATTATATCTACAAATTAAACGAATAAATAAAAATCATCAAAAGAAATAATGAAATGGAATCAGTTTTCGAAAAGATGTAGTTTCGAAATGATATAGAAGAGGAACAGAGCACAAAAATATTTCGTTTTACAACTCATTGTTTATCCTAAACGGAATTCCAAAGAGGAATATTCTCGTCAGATCTAAGAAAAAAAAGGATGGCAGAAAATTCGAGCCGATTTATCGGACTCGAGAGTGAAAAAAAACCCTCTTAACGCTAGTTTCCATAATGATCCTCGCTCTATTCTATCATCTTTAAGAACACGCTCGTGGAAAAACTAGCGTTCAAACACCTGTTTCAACCTAATTTTAACCTTTCTCCGCTTATTGTTCGACAATTCCTCGTGAAAGAACCAATGGAACCTTATGGAAGAATAAGAAAAAGTCCTCCCTTCGACCGAATGAATAATGAAAAAGGAAAGAAAAACTCACGGGAGGTCCCTGAAAATACCGTGTACACAGTCACGCCAAGGTTGTTGAAACAAATTTTTTCCTTTCAATGGGTAATTGGAAAAAAAAAAAAAAATTGCTATTAAAAATTTTTATCATTCATATCATTGAATTAAAAAACATTAAAAACATAGTGTATTCTGACTGGGTGGTTATTTTTAATTGACAATTTGTCCGAAACTGATCTGACATAATATCAAAGAAATTTGAAAAAAAAAATTGAAACATTTCATGAATGATGGAGCAAAACTTCGAAATAAAAATATCGTCCTCGATAAGTTAAAGATCAGAGATATTCACGAGAGAGAGAGAGAGAGAGAGAGAGAGAGAGAGAGAGAGAGAGAGAGAGAGAGAATTAATCGCGCCGAATATTCCAGTCGAGCAACAGTAAAATCCCCAGATAATACTAAAGACGGCTCGCGTAGAACGTAGAACTCCTTCATAGCCTGTTCAACACGCCGGAACATTTGTTAGCGTCTATGGTGATCCTAAGCCCTGACGGAACTCCCGGAGAAGCCGGTCGAATAGGATTTCTTGCCGGTTTTACAAACTCCGTCCATTTAATCCGCTAGATTCTTTACACTGGATGTACGATGTATGTGAATAATGAACAGGAAACAGAAACGATTCGCGAGGAATATTTATTATATTGAAAAACCGGAATTATTATTATTATTTCTGAATAGATGCCAACTTTTTTTTATTGTTCATAAATTTTTAATATTATCTACCATCTTCAAGAAGTAAAATTCTAAAAAAAGAAAAAAAAAGAAAAAAAAATCGAATATGAATATCAGTCAATGAAATAATTATTTTCGGTTCATCTTTAATAAAATTATTTCTGATTGAGATAGTAAGAAATCGTGATAGTAAGAATGAAAGCGTGACACGATAACAAATGTAAATTAACGTGAAAGTAAATGTATCAAAGTAAACGAAGAATTGTATCAAATATCGCAATTACTAGAATCGAAAAGTAAATGTTATCTCGCGAAATAGTAAGTCTGAAAGTTTAAATAGCAATTTGCACAGCTATTCGTCGCCCTGAATATTGCATTAGGTAGTCGACACATGAGAAAAAGAAGAAATTTCGAGCAAAAAATAAATAGTGAAATAATGAAATAGTAAATAGTGAAAATAAATAGTGAATCGTAAATTTAAAAATTCAGGATCAAAAAAGCGTAATGCTTCTCGGATCCATTTCATTTTCGGATCCATTTATTAATTGTTAAACGCATTTTTTTTTTTTTTACGATCGCGTTGACGCGACGAAATAAAACTGTTCATCGATTTAGATTAATTTTCATCCATACAGAGTTGGCAACCGATGATGCGTCTGGAATTCATCGCTAACTTGTCAACGCGAACGAAATAGAGGGAGTACGAACGATTACGAACGATTCTTGGTTAGAGACCGTGTTTATGACAGGTTAGATAACGTTCATGATTTGAACAGTTTCGAGCTCCTGATGGAATGTCTATGGTTTTGGATTTCGATACTGTAATATAATCCAATCTATGATAACAGTAGGGAGTTTAATGATCACTATCCTTGATAAATATCGCTTTGATTTGATAACATGAAATTAATAAAATAACAAGCAATCTTTGTTGCACAAAATCGTACGAATAAATTATATCGAAACTCGCATGCTTTTTTGTGCGCATGCGCAACGTAGTTAACGTGCACGTTCAACACGGTGCACTATGATAAATCGCGGAACGTCTTGAATATTTTTCTTTCTTTATTTTTTCGTGATATATCATTTGCATTCACTGCTTCATATTCTTCCACGGTTCTTTATCTACCCTGTAAAATCCACACAACTTTCTTTTCATCTCGCCGATAAACACGAATATGATTATATGGAAAAACGAATCAAAAATAAAAATGTTTATAAATGGCGAAATGATTGTACAATTGAACGAAATGTATATGAAATATCCTTGTATATATAGATTTTAATAATTTCAAAAAACATGTTATAACATATATACAATAATAGATTTCTATTAATTTTGCATCGTTTTCTTTATCCGTTAAAAAAATCGAAATTCAGATATATGAATTATTTTTTTTTATTAAATAAATATGTATAAATTATGAAATATAACATATCGATGAAAATTGTTAATGAAGAAATTACAAATGAATTTTTTAATAAAATTTACAATTTTCACCGATAGAAATGTATATATGTTGTATAAAAATTTTCATAGTTATTTATGTATATATATATTTAATATTTTGTATAAATTATTTATAATATATAAATGCATATCATTTATAATGATAATAATGCATTCCATAAGATATGTTTACCAACAGTTATAGAAATCTTCTTAATCACTTATAGAAATCTATAGGATCAATATTTTTTTAACAATTATATACAATTGTATGTATTTACATATACATATATATATTATTTGTTTCTAATTAAAATATTAATCTAATTTAAAAATACCTATTCCGCTTTCACCATTTTAAAAATTATATATCATTTGATCACACTAACGGAACATACGATTCCTTATTATCTATTCGGCACAAGTAAATATACTTTTGAAGCTGGATGTATTTGATTGCACCCACCGATAAAGTCAGACAGGTTCTTTGTACTCGTATAAAGTGTATATGTATATATATATCCGGGTGATAAACCAATGTATTTAGTTATATAGGTGTGAATACTCTTATCCATTAGCTAACTTACGTAGGATAAAACATAAAATTTTTGAACTATATTATAATATATCTATTATAATATATCTAAAATTTTTGACAAACATTTAAAAACATCTATAAATAAAATGAAATATTTGTACAATACATACATCCAATTTCAAGATGCGAAAATTTTTCTTTTATTTGTTTTTCTTTTACGAATCGAGTCCCCTTCGCGAAGAAACGCAACTCATAATTCATCAACTATAAATATTTTTACGTTGAACGTATTCTTCTGCTTTTGAATCATTTTAATGAAATACCATCGAATAAATTATAGATAACTATAAATTATGAGTATGTTTATTCTAATTCTGAACTTCAAATTTTATTATTTGTTTTTTATTCCTATGTTGTACTTTTTTTTCTTATTCTTTTGAGAAATTTCATTGAACATAAATATTATAAATTCAAGCAATTTTTATTAAAAATTTTTATTAAAAATTTTAAAAACTGTCTATTATACACGAAATTTGAACGATAAAATAATTATAATATAAATAATATAAAAAAACGAAATTAAATTAAAAAATTTATCAAATATGATTCTATTCAAAATAAATATAAAAAACTAAAACAGTTTTAATTTTATTTGTTTTATTAATTATTTTAATAATATTCAAAAATAATCAAACATTACCATTATGAACTTTTAAATTACGTCGCAATTTTCAAATTTTCTACTCTCGCGCCATCTTTAAAAATTGTTGTCAGTTTGTTCGGAATGAATCATAATTTCATTCGAAATTGAAATTCGTGATATTAAATAGAAAAAATTCAAATAAAAACTTACATGAAATTGCCTCCTTGGGAATGTCAGTGGCCGGAAAACCTTGCGACTCGAAGTACGATCTGACAGCGTCACATTTCAATCCGGCGCGCACCGTAGTCGTCGTGACGCTAAGGATCAGGATAACACATAATATCGGTAGCATAGCACTCATAATTATTCCCGTGGCGAACACTCGCGATACACTCACGAACTGACGCGACAAATACGCGGGATATAACACTCACGTTTGTACATTCGCGAATAAATGACTTCGTAATCGTGACTCGGTTTGGCAAGCACGTTAGACAATTCCAGGCGGATAGCGCCACGATGATTTCGGTAATTAAAAAATTATAATTCGAAAGAAATGCCGAAAATATTCGTGAAAAAAGAACGATAATCCGATACGATATCTCCTTCCTCCTCGTTCGACGCGCACTGACCGACTCGTGGAAGGAACGCGTGCCGACAGTGGTGCGCGCATGCGCAATATTCAAAAAACGTTTGAATAGAAGAGATTGAAATTTTGTAATACAGTATTTACGCGCCAAATCAGTTGCCATGCGCAAACTGAAAAATTTATTTAAATTTTTTATATGAATTTAAATTTTTATAATCTGGGAAAAATATTCATCAAAAAATATGTTTAAAGAATTCCATAAAATTTTTAATATGGATAATACATAGTACTAATATTAATAAATATTATTATAATAATGGACGGTATTAATATTTCAACTATTGGACGGATATTACAAACTAAATATAATTATACAATTAAATTGCACAAATACATTATTCTTAATAATAGTATATAAAAAATACATTTGAAATGAAAAATGCAATAATTAAAATTAATTAAATTAAAATTAATTCCTAAAGAAGGAAATACAAATATAATTTTATAGATGAGATCAAAAATTATTCTCTTTTTTAGTCACAATAATTGTCACCAACTCGCATGTCTTTAAATAATATATTCTAAAATAAAAATATCATATATTTGCTCTATTATTTATATTATTAATTTAAATAAGCATTGCTATATAATTTCGAATACGAATTCTATATACATATAATAAAGAAATTGTACAACGTCGATTATTTAAATAGTAAAAAGAATTAGAATCAATTCTTTTAGCAATATATAATACATAACTATAAAAAAAATATATTCGACGCAAGTCTAAAGTTCGCTAGCATATTTGTTAAAAGCGCAAACATAAAATATTTATTTGGTAATGCATGCTTAATGCATTCTTATAAGCTTTCATTACATATATGTAACTGTACTATGACATAAGGGACAAGCATTAATATTAACCACATCTCGTTCTGTAGCAACATGATGTCTGCAAACAGTGCAAATCCATGCATTACTTAGATCCATTAATGGTTTTCCAGACATGATACAAGGAGGAAATCTGGTCATGCAATTAGGACAAGCAACACACCAATCAGGCACTAGACTTTCGCAATTTGTACATTCTGCTTTAGAATTACGAACATCTTGAGGACTATGTTTGGTAAAAATTTCCACAGCTAAATCCTCGTATTCTTCTCTGGTCGTCTCTGATATAGTTTCTAGAGATTCTAATTTAACGAACGCCTTGGAGCAAACTGCAAAAGCATGATTAACTGCACTTGATAGAGCAAGCAAACAATAAATATCTTCAGGTTGTAAAATCTCTTCGTATTCCCTTAATCTCAGAGCTGTTTTCATGGCTGCGTCGAAATTTCCTAAATATATCTGTCTATTGGTTAATAAAAGAAAATGATAAGCCTCTGCACCTTTCCAAGCATTTTCTATCACTTGACTATCTTCGTTATTCTCTGTTAATCCCATCACAACGTTGCTTCGACCGCCTTTAATAGCTGGAGTACTATTGATGTGGTCCTCAATTAGCAAAGCTGCTAAGATATAAATCTTTTTTACACGTAATGGATTCATTCTAGTTTTTGCTTGCTCTTCTGCTAATTTAAACAATAGCTTTGCTGCTTCTAAGTTATGATTTGCTTTCTTGTATAATTCTATGGCTTGCAATTTCTTACCATTAGACAAAAGATGATTGGCATATTTATTCAATAATTCATCTATTTGAGCCATTTTATATGTTTTTGCTAATTCAACTGCTTGGTCCCAATGGTTTAAGCGGACACACGTATCCACGGCTAATTTCACATCTCCGTATTTTATATATGCTGCCACTGCCTGGGAACACATACCTACAGAACCTAACATTCTTGCTACTGTTTTTAAAAGAGGACTTTTATCTGGTAGCTGTTGTACTATTCCTGCTAATTGAGCGAAATCTTCTAATTTGTAATAACATTCTATAAGTTTTTCCAAATTTCTAGTCTTTTCATAATATTCTTTTGCGCCTTCCCAATTCTGTATTTCAGTATAATATTCGCCAATTTTATTGTAAGCATATTCCATTTGTTTATCAGATCCGCCGATACCCATTTTCATTAATTGTACAACTCGAAAATAATCTCCTAATTTTTGACGCAATGAAATAGCAAGATCTCTTCTATCCATATCTAAATATAACTTTTCTGCTTCATCATAGTTGCTAAGAAAAGCAGCTACTTCGGCTTTTTTCAATTGATCGTTATGCACGTTCTGCAAACGTTTAATGAATTGTATTCCCAAATAATCTGTGCAACGAACCATTGCATTTTCTGCAGTCTCCAAATCTAATTTTTGTAAAGCTGATTCAGCTAATAAGCGCCACAATCGTGGATGTGGATTGTCTTGAATGAAATTGTTAGCTTCTTTTAATCCTACTTTCATCAACAATTCTCTAGTATCCCTTAAGGATTTTACTTCTAAATCTACTATTAATTCATTTTTTGTATCTTCCGGATTTTGCATGAGATCATCCAGTAAAACGCAACGTATTTCTAAATCTTTAAATGAGCAAATATATCCAGAACAAGATATTGGTTCTTCAGGATCGAATTCTCTTAAAACATACATTCTAGTTTTTTCTATAATTGCTAATAAAGTGGGATTATCTTGTGCCCAGCACATGGCCCATACATCTTTTCTTTCAAACTTGTTTATTTCATTCTCTGATTCTTCATCTTTCGAAATAATATTTTTTCTAGAATCAGTTTCTAAATCTAACATAGTCAAAATACCATTCAAATCCATAATAGCTACCCGCGACGAATCACAATTAATTGCAATCTTGTAAAGCTTACAAGATGTATTGTATCTATTTGTAAGAGTTATTTGAGATAAAGAATATCTTTGAATCATTCCTGATTCTCTACCTATCAATAGAATTTTATCAGTTGCACACAAACAACAAATTGGATCCATAGTAGCTTTAGTATTAATAGGTGCTTCAAAGGATCTGTCTTTATCTAAATCTTGAATGACTTCTGTCACTCCAGTTGGAGTTTCATCAATATGGTAAATCTTGTCTCTTCTAATTCTTCCTGCATGTAACATGGAATTACGAGGAGTACGATAACTCCAAACTAAAAAATTATTCTTGGATGCTGTAATAATCACATTGTTAGTCATTGTTACCCATAATGGGTCCAGATCTATATATTTCGTATCTATTGGAGTGGCAATTGTATTGCATACTAAAAGTGCAAATTGTTCTGATCCTTGAGCAAGATCATTTTTTACCGCTAAAACACAATGATCTCCATATGAAGCTATAGAAATCAATGCTCTTACATTCTTAGTACAATAAGTATTATTTGTTGTATTCCAAAATATAATGCAAATGCCATCCTTAGTGATCTTTTCATTCGTATATACAACAGTGTTACTAAAGTAAGTCCATTTATAATCTAAACGAATATTTGCAAAATAAATGTGAGAGTCAACTGATAAAGCTACTCTAAGGGATCCTCCTTCCCATGCACAACATGTGACTTCTCTACCAGGTATTTTTAAAGTTCTCATATGTTTACCAAATGGAGTATAAAATTGAATAACATTAATGTCTTTTGCTTCTCCATTACCTAATAGTGGTATCATACCAGTTACAGCTAATATGGATCCATAACTATTCCAACAACACCATGCTGCTGTCATACCAGTTTCTATTACAATTGGATTATCATCATTTGTATCTTTCATGAGCTGTATTTTGCCATTTCTGTAACAAACAGCTAAAGTAGGAGAATCTAAGCCAATATAACCATTTCTTCCATCGTACCATTGCAAAGAAACTATTGTTTGAATTTGACCACTATTAAGTGGTAACATATTTAATTTTGTTAAAAATACACCTTGATTGTCAAAGAGATGAACTTCTCCATTTTTTATACCAAATAATAATAATTTTCCATCTGGAGACCACTGTACAGCAGCAAGAGCTATATTTTTTAATTCTTTTCCCCAAATTCTATTGCCATCAACTGAACCTACAATAACTGCTCCATCTTCATAAACTATACATATTTTTAACCCATCTAAACTCCATGCCATTCCTTTAACTATTGATTTATTGCAATTGTTTATCATTTCATCATACCAGGAACCTTTATATAGCATCCAAACTATGATTACACCATTCTGATCACTTGAAGTTAATTTCTGATGTTGTTCATTCCATGTAATTACTTGTACATGTCCATTGTGACCTTCCAAAGTTTGATTCATACTTAAATTACTTGCAGCTGTTAAATTTCTAGACTTTGCACCACTAATAGAACCACTGACATTGGAATCTACTCTAAGCACTTTTAAAAGACCATCTTCTCCACCTATAGCTATATAACCTTCTCTTTGATTCCATGCTATACAATTTAATCGAAAATTATTTGGTATTGCTATTTTTTTACTCAAATATACAAACATCTTTTTCACATTTAATTATCATTAGCTATCTTATATTCTTTGTTAAACTTCTGAAAAGTTAAAATTTCTGAAAGAAATATATTAATATATATATAATTTACAAAACATATGCTATAATTTATTTATTGTAATTTTAATTTTTACAATTGGAATTATTATTACACTTACATTATTAAACAATATTAATATCATTCATTAAAAAACGAAATGATCGTTATTATCTGTTATAAATATTTATTTGTATTATTGTTTTATAGATTGTTTCGTATTTAAGAAAAATTTTTAAACATATTATTTAAATACTCATTTATTATTTAATCATATACATTTTATATAACTTTTACCTAGTTTAACTGAATGTTAATTTTAAGGTTATAAACAATTAAAAAAGCGTGTATACACTTATATATATACGTATATACATATATACTTCAGCATTGTATTCAAAACCGATGAAGTTTCCATTCACATCGATGCTTCTTATATTTCGATTCTTTGCACATATAATAAATGAATAATTGAAAAAATATTTATTTAGATTTAAATAATATATATATTTATTAAACATATATATATAATTTATTGATTTAAATATATATATATACATATATATAAATAAAATACTATAATGAAAAATATTTTTAATTAAAATAAATTTAATCGATAAAAATAAACTTAAAATCAATGATTTACATAAAAATACAGTACTTTAAATTATCAATTAAAGACAATAATGTAAAATACAAAAAATATTTTAAAGTGAATAATTTGTCTGTAATTTGTAATTTATTAAAATTATATATATAGCAAATAAAAATTCAATTTTCTATTTCTACTATGGGTTTAAAAATAGTAAGATTATGTGGCAGTTTTTTCATAACACCCTTTCCTCGCCATAACTGAAGCCAACAATCACATACATTTGAATACATACTTGCAATTAACGTACAAATTTCAGGTTTTTCAATAAATATTCCGGAATTAGGAAAATTAACAATATTCTCGCATCCACTAATATCGATATGTCTTAATGTTGGTGTATGTTCTAAAAGTAAATTCAAAGATTGTACTCCTATTTTTCTATTTCCTCTGAGCACTAATTTCGAAAGATTTGATACACGCGATAATATATTTTTAATATCAATATCTAATAATTCGCAAAAAGTAAGTTCTAAAGATTCTAAATTTATAAATGAAATATTTGTTTCATTAAAAATATTTTTTACCACATTGAATTCGTTAGAAATAGTGTTTGATAAATTTAAATTAAGCAATTGTCTTTGTAAAGTAATATAGAATTTATCTTTATTGATACTATTCCAAGAAATATCTAAATTCGCTAAACTAAAGTTGTTTGAAAGAAACTGAAAATTATGCAATTGACAATATCGTAAATTTAATGTCCGAAGTTGCGTCAAAGGAGTAAAAAGTTTGCACAAGATTTCTTGATTACATGACCCAAGTGGATTATAACTAAGGTCTAAAAACTTAAGTTTTAAAGGTAATTTTTCTAATTTACTTAAACATTTAGAATCTATATCACATCCCTGAAGGCATAATTCTTGCAAACTTGACAATCTTAAAATACAATCATTCAGAACTTCTCCGATTTCATGTAGTTCACCACCAGATAAATCTAATATCTGAACATTCTTCTGATATTCCAAAGTTTTTAATAAAGATATAAGTTCCTCCTTTTTAATATTTTCTTGTTTTAAGCGTAAAATGAATGTGTTTTCGCATGATTTCAAACATTTTAATATACATTCTCGAATATCTAAAAATATAGAAGATACTTAGTATGAATTAAAATTACAAATGTATTAAAGATACTTTAAAGACTGCTTACCTATATTAAAATTTTTACATATCGTTTTATATCGTTCAATAATAGAAGGAGTTTCTAAATGAATTATTTCGCATATCAAATTTTTAACAACATCTCCTTCATTTAATATTGTGAACACGTTATTGCAATTAATCACAATACCATTCATAGTTTTTAATTCTAACTTTACTCTACATCCACTATCATTATAAAATTTAGTTTCAATATCAGTTACAATTTCTTCTATCAATGGTCTGATTGTATTTGAAAATTCTATTTGTATTTTAAATATTTTTCCATCCACAGAGATATTTAAAATAACTGATTTCATAGTATCGATTTCTCCTAATTCAAATCCTGTGTTAGTTGGAATTATAGGTGAAGAAGTATGAGAAGTAGAATTTTTAGTAAATCCAATTGATAACAAAGATATTTGCTGATTTTTCTTTTGAATTTTATTTTCACTAAAGGTTTGTATTGTTTCAGTATCATAATCATTACTATCCTCTTGTATCATATTATATTCATTATCTTTTATTATGAGATCATTTATTTTCGATCGTTTTAAATTTTTTTCATCATCAATGTCTTCGTTACTTGATTTTCTTTTTATTATTGAAGAAAAATTTTCATCAGAGTATTTTTTGTTACTAACACTTTCATTCATATCATCTTCTAACCAATTATCTAAAAGGACCTCCTCACTATTCAAAAGAGGATTCATATTTTTTTTCACAGATGACAAAGATGTTCCAATTGGATCAATTCTATGTTTCAAACTAGCTATAGTTCTTTTATAATCTTCACCTGCAGAAATTTTTTCTATAATTACAGCTTTATCTATGATATGAGTTCTTGAATTACATGGAGATTCATGAATGCGTTTCGAAATTTTTTTTACACTTATCGGTATCATAGCAGATAATATTTTATGTATTTCATCATAATCTCTTTGATCTTCAGGAGATAAAAAATCAACGCGATCCTTCCATTGTTCTAAACAATCTAATACAGTATCGTCTTCATTCGTTTTAAGAATTACATTTGCTCCATGTTCAATTAGAAGCTTCATCATGGTAAAATTGCCACAGGAAGCTGCATCATGAAGAGGAGTAACACCCTGACACATTAAACTTCCAGGATCATTTACATCTGCGCCATATTTCAATAATAATTTAGCAATTTCTACATGACCATGATTAGCAGCTTCATGAAGAGGAGTCCAACCAAAATGATCTCTAACATTTATTAAATGACCAGATTCTAATAATTTTTCTACAATTTCAATATTACCATTAATACAAGCCACATGAAGTTGTGTTTCTCCTTTTTCATTTCTTTTTATTGCAATTGATTTTTTTCTGGTCCGTTTTTTATTTTTTATATTTTCTTTAATTCTCAATTCTGCTTCAACATCAGACAAATCTTCTAAACAAATATCTTCGCCGATATGATTTTCTTCTGATTCGCTTTCACTATCTATATTGCTACTTAATTTCTCTAACATATCTAATTTTACTTTAAGTGCTTCTATTTCTTCAGTTTTACTAGAATTGTTTAAATAATTTAAATGTTCTTTTAAAACACTAGCTTGTAAAGAAACATCATTACAAGCTTTTGCATTTTTCAAAGCTAAATTATAAACTTCTTGAACCTTTTTATCATTTTCTTTAACAGCTATCAATAGATCTGCTAAAAATAAAGCAGATCTACATATTTCACGTGGATCTGTACATAATTCTAATTCTCTATGAGCAAAATCCAGTGCTTCGTTATATTGTTTAACATCTTTTAGAGTTTGTGCTAAACTTAATAAAGCTGCTCCTCTACGATCACTTTTAATCTCTTCTGCGCACACGAGCATTTTTCTATAATATTTGATGGCTTTTTCAAAACACTGTACAGCTACTGCTGCATCTCCTAATGTTTCATATAATTTCAACTTACTACTCGTATTTTCTTCTGTACATAAAGCTTCTTCACTTGTTTGTAATGTTACAACTATAAACAAATTATTTTTTAACATTATATATATATATATATCTTAGTTTTTGTAATTTATTAAAAAAATTTATTAAAAAATTCATATTTAAAATCAAAAATACCTATCCTAAGACATTTTTCTATTTGATTCTTAAAATCTTGCGGTAAATTATTCGTAACATAAAGAGATACCAATATTTTTCGTGCTTCAGACCATCTTTCTATTTTTAAAAGTAATTCTGCTTGAAAAAATCGTGCTTCTGCTTTTAAAATTGAATTATCAATTTCAGTTGCATTTTCAAAATGTTTTAACGCCAACTCATAATCATAATTTCGTTCGCGAATTCCTGCAAGAGCAATTTGCGTTCTATGAAAATCTTCTCGCAAATTATGTGTTTCACATAATACTGCAGCTTTTTCCATTAAATCCACAGCTTCTTGATGATTTTTTTCAGCTTGTAATACCAAACCCAAATTTAACAACAATCGTGCCCTCATTGTAATTAATTCCTTCAATGGAATATCAGTATCTCCCAATCTAAATAAAACATAAGTATATTATTTGTAATTTGCTTATATATATTTAATATTAAATTAACAAAAAAAAATTTTAAAAAATATAACTCATTGCAAAGACGTATGCTCTTCATGTATACTTTTCTTGCATTTGTGAGAATATCAATTTTTTTTTCGGATTTTTCAGGCAAACTTTCAGCCCAACAAAAATATGTTCTACCTAATGTTGCATAAGCTCTTTGTTCTTCTAATAAATTTTTTATATTCTTGGCTCCTTCTATCTAACAAAAAAACTTTTTATAATTATATAATTTTCTAACAATATAAATTTCTATTAATATGAACATTTTGAAAATATTTTTTATTTATAATAAATATTTTAAACACAAACCCAAGTAAAGATTTTGATGTTTTAATGCTTCTTCGTATGTACCAATATTTATATGGATCTCTCCAATCATTCTATGAGCTATTGCTATATTTAATTTATCTCCTAATATATTACAGATTTCCAATTGCTGTGTATACTCCTGTAAAGCTTCTTCATACTTGCTATTTTCAAAATATACATCGCCAAGCTCTTTAACAATTTCAGCTAATTGTTGAAGATTACCATCACGCTTGATTCGTTTCTTTTTTTTAATTAACCCTATTATCAAATCAAGATTCATATATATATATATATATATATAAAATATGTTTAATTATATATAATAATATAAAAAATAATATAAATAATATAAAAAAATTATAATAAAATTAAAATATATATTATGTATATTTATTATATATATTATTATTATTTATATTAATTATGTATATTATTATATAATAAATACAAATTCTCTTTAAAATATTTCAATTTCAATATTATATTTATATTTACCATTTCATGAATATTATATTTACCATTCATAAATATTAAAGCACAGAAAAATAATTTTTAAAAAATTATTTAATTTTTAAAAATTAAAGTAAAATGATACTCACTATCGATATCCATTATTAATTAATATAAATTATTATAAAAATAAGTGATTCACAATTTATTCATTATATCCGAATTTGAACTTCATATACTTAAGAATATACTATCACACAAACACAAAGAGGAATATCAACTGAGAACGTAGGCATAAAGGCACGCACGAAAATATTAGTATCACACGGCAGCAGACGCCTCATAACGGTAAAGAAGAGAGTATAAAGTGCCATTGATGAAGAAACGAGACAAAATTGTGAAGTTACTAGACGTCAAAATTATCATTGATCGCTGAAAAAAGTAAGTGTCACAACTCAAAATTTTTATCTGAAATATTTAAAAAATTCATCTATAACATTTAAAAAATTCTGAAATATCTATGAAGTCATCGATAATTATATTATTGAAATAATTCAAAATTAACCGTGAGAAAATAATTAAAGATTAATACGACATTGAGCACAATTGATGAAATCATTTTAATGCTAATTATATTAAAAAGGCGGCAACGAAAATTCATGTGAATCGTAACGTAGTTCAATTCAATATATATATATATATATATATATATATATATATATATATATGTATATATATGTATATGCATCGGTGTTCGCTTTCATAATTCATCGCCTAATTCAAGATGTGCGTGAACTTCAATGACTTCATAATCTACGGAGCACAAGTACGAGCTGGTACGAGGTAGTACGAGCATTTAACAGTGGGTAACCTGTGGCGCATGAAAGTTCATTCTTCTTGCTATGTGACTATGTGACACTTCAAGTCTTCAGTCGGGCCGTGTTGCGGGTCATGAAAGGGTGATGGGTATTCTTTCATTTTACACATTGACACGAAGTTGACATATTGCGGAAAAAATCTTATGTCGTTCCGCTTTTCTCTCTAATATTATTTGATGATTTTCGTCAGATCCACTAATGGCAGGAGAGTTGCGTAAAGGAAGGTTTATGGGTAAGTTGTAGGATGCTGCTAAGCTTAGAATCACAGCAACTTTGGATCAATAAGCGCGAATTCATTTTTTATCAATGAATTTTACTGATATTATTTAATTGCTATATATTAAAATAAAATTAATAAAATTTATATTATAATAATTGTATGTATTATAATGATTTGTTTATGTAAATAAAAAAATGTTTGACTAACGGAATTATTTTCGCCATACTTTTAATTGCCGAAATAGAGTATTCTAATATTACTTAAAGTATGAAAGATATGCAACAGAGTTATAATTAAAATACTTATGTTTTTGATATATATAATAGAAAACATTAATAAGAATTTATTATCTTCTTTATTTCAATTTTTTACGAAGTTAATAAAATGATATATTTTATTAACATGCATTTTTCTTTTGCAAAAATTTTTATCAAATTAAAATAGATTTATTTAAAGAAAAAGTTACCAATTAATTTTTATTTTAATATAGCAATGTGATTTATATAGCACTATTTCTTTTTTTAAACCTACAAATCAATATATGTATACTATTGTGTAATATACCTGTATTTATCTTAATCATTTGTCACTACTTACAAAAATATTTTAGGAAATTATATTTTTAAAAATGTTGGTGTTAAAATAATTTATTTTTAGATTAAATAATATTTCTTTTACTTTACTGATTAATCTTTTTAAGTTCCAGTTCAACCAAGACCACTTCTGTATTTACGTATATTAGAAAACTCCACAATGTTCTATTGCGATATTGAAATTCACCAACGATGGAAGAAAGAAAACTTACAAACTCCTGTGACACTTTGGCAAGGTTAAACAAGAATGAACATAAATTATATGAAAATCAAAATCATTGTATCAAACCATTATCTATCACATTTGATGAAGAAGATGCCGAAATAATAAACCACAAAGATTCTATTAATGATTCAACAAAACTCAATTATTGCAATAATTCCTCAAAAGCATTATTATATACTAAGGAACCTCAAGTAAATTCTCGTAATTCAATATATTACATCATTAATCATTTATCATATTATATTATATTACAATAATAATATCAATATTTCCAGAATTCTCAAGAAAAAGAACCACCCTCACCAACTACTCTACAATGGGGTAGAGCTATAGCTGAAGTAAAAGAACATGCTGTAGCAAAATTACAAGATGAACTCAAAAGAGCACATGAGGAGTTAAAATTGAAAGATGAAGAAGTTACAAGACTTTCAAGAATTAAGCAAGATGTTGAAGTTGAATTGGAGGAACTCACTGCCAGTCTCTTTCAAGTAAATTTCATGAATGATATTTGTTAATATATTATATAAAAGGAAATAAAGAATTTAACCAAAATTTTATATATAAATAGGAGGCACATAATATGGTGCGAGAAGCAAATATTCGTCAAGCTACCGCAGAACGTCTATTAGAAGAAAGTCGTATGAAAGCTGAAGTTTTAGCTGCTGAAGTGGCAGCTTTAAAAACATTGGTATTAACTTCGACGCCGGCTAAACCAAACTTTCATTTACATCCGCAAATTGATACGAAAAGTCGTCCTAACAATGAGGATAATCAGCAAGGACTTTTTGCAAGAAAACATAGAAGGTGCAAATATGTTTATAATTACTATAAACATTATATTAAACATTTTTTAAATATGTTTTCTTAAATATTAAAAATATCAATAAATGGAATTAATGGTATTTAAATTAAATTTTAAATATTTTTCTATTTAGATCACCATCACATTTCAATTTAAAATATGGTCGAGAGAGTTCTCCACCAGATTCTCCACTAAAAGAACAAAGACCATCTTTACCATCAGATCGAGAAACATTAGAAAGAGATTGGAAAAAAGATTCAGAAAAAGAGAAAGACAAAGAATGCAAAGATTTTGGTCTTGAAGTTGATCCTAGAGTACATACAGAATTTCTTAAATGGAAAGCCAATCCATGTGTAGATAAAGGTGATCCTTTCGTTGACAGAATTTTTAAAGAAGATATCGATCTTTGTCTTGATTTTCCTAACAAAGAATTGGGTACAAAAGTTAGACAAGCTGTTCTTGATGGCATCATTTTTATCGAAGCCATCAGTGATAAAACTAAATTCACTTTTCCAAAGTAAATCTTGTATTTTAATATCGATATATTATTTTTTTTTACTATTATATGAAACATAAATATTTCTTCTTTTTTCATTTTTTTAGAAAATGTGTATTACTTGAAGCACCACGTCAATGTTATTATCGAATGAGACTTGGGGATCAAGAAAATCAGTGGTATAGCATATCACAAATCTGTCGCAATCGAGTGAGTTTAAGTTCTGTAAATAATTTATTAACTGTAAAATATTAGATATTGAACAAAATGATATTTTTGTAGATCATAGCGGTCTGCGATTTTTTGAATTATTTACGCTATATTGAGCGTGGCCTTGTTAAAAGCTCAGGTAAATATTGGTTATTTTAGTTTTCCTTTTATATAATATAAAAAATTTAATTATTGTTATAGTTCACGATGTTTATTGGGAAATTACTCGATTACGAAAGGAAATGGCATTTGCTCGTTTGGGCCTTGCATTATCATCTTAAATGCTTTCCATGGAGGACTTTTTCTAGTCTTAAATGTAACAAATTAGGCCATGGACTTGTTATTATTCATTTATAATTATGAACTGTAGGTTGTTCAAAAATTTTAATCGTTCCAACTCGATCTCTTTTTTTATCTATTGATCGAGATTTTTTTAGAGTAAGTGTTAAAGTTTTAATATATGAAAGCTCTCAGATTCCTCTATTATAGCGTAAAACGCTTTGAGTTATTTAAGAAGAGAAAAAGAATTTATACAAATCAATCTATGAATCTTTTTGATTGAGATTATAATTCTTAAAGTATCAACATATATTTTATTTATAAACGTAATATATTAAAGATTTCTTTATCGATCTGAAATTCATACTATATTATTTTCTAATAAAAATATGTTTTAATCAGTTTTAAAGTGCAATCAAGTATTTCTAAGATATTGGGGAACATGGTGCCTTTTGACTTTTCGCTTATTAATAATGCGTGATTAGTTTTTAGTTTAAGCTTTAAAGTATAATGATGACTTAATCACAACACATAAAAAAAAATGATTACATTAGTTTTCTAATTTATTAGCAATTATAATTATCTTTTTTAAATTGTATAATGGCAGCAAATAATATAAGCCATTGTTTTATTCAAAAAAAAGTATAAATGTTGTAATTTAAAAAATCATATAGAGAAAAATTTCTAAAATTTTTTTTAAATTATTTTTATTTATTTATATATATATACCTTTGGACATAACAAATAAGATTCTAAATTTATTTTTAAAAAAATTTTGCAATTTAATATAAAATTTAATATAAACGTATCATTGAACATTGAAGCACTAAAATTTTTTATATATTAAAGATTTCAAAAAATGCCATAAATTATTTATAAAAAAAATTAAAATATAAATATTTACAATTGCGTTTAATAATAAGTTACATAATATAACATATTTAGAATTTATATTTTTAATTCTATTTTAATTATAAATGATATTTTAGTAAAAATAATGAAAATTATATATCATTTTTATATATAATAATTAATATTTTTTGGATTATTATGAATTTGAACATGAATTTTGTCCAAAGGTACACAGTTTCCCCCAGAAAATATTGTATCATATTCATTTTTAATAATGTTTTCTTTTATTACAAATATTAACTAGTACCTGGTAATTAGTGTGCATATTAAAAAAATGTATACTATTTATGGATTAAGGATTACATAGAACATATATATTATGTCAATAATATATGATTAAATGATAAATATTTGAAATTATGAATATTTGGTTGTGCAGTAGTTAACAAATTATTTTTTATAATAGCAAATTATAGTTATAAAATAATTTTTTATTGTTATTTTTTAGTGCAATGTTTTATTCATTTAATTTATAATAAACTGAAATTAGATATTTGATATACTATATATTTACAATCAAATTTTGTTATTGTTATATATAAAAATTTATTTTAATTTTGGTTGATAAAAAAAATCTATATATGCTATATTTCATCTTTTATTTTAATATGCGAATCAGAATTTTTTTTATTTAGAACTTAAAAAAAACATTTATGCTTTTATTCTATCATAAAAATCTAATTAAATATGTAAAATTGTTTTTATATATTTACATAAGTAAGCATTAANTAAGATATATATATATATATATATATATATATATATATATATATATATTATATGTCTTGTATATTGATGGTGCTTTACAAGAATTATATTTGTATATAATACTTCCAAACCAAACATCTTAAATTAATTTTAAGAATTTGGTCTCTTAGCATGGTTTACATAGTCAATCAAAACAAAACATATGTTTGAATAAAAAAATATAATACATAATAACATATATTTTAAATTAAGATAATTTTTTGCAAAAATCATATTTTTAAAAATAAGATTTTCAAATCAAAATAAATTTTAGTTTATTTTGTACGAGTAACTATCTTTGTGTCTTTATATGGTATACAGATTGATATTCTATAAAAACTGAGTTAGAATTTTTTATTATTTTTCTATATTTAATATAAAATAATAATAAAATATATGTTTGAAAATTTTTAATAATATTCATGCTGTATATATACAATGTTATTGTAAAAGGTTGAACTATAAATATATTAAATATATACAATAATCGAAACGAAATTAAAATAGTAATGACATGTAAATCTTAAATAGTCTTAAATAGTCAATTAGAAATATCAATAATACTTGTTCAAATTATTCAAAGTTGCCAAAGATTGCTTCCGAATAATTTTTATTAAAATATACTGAGTTATATTACTAAACATGATTTTTAGACATATTTAGATTCGGAAAAACTAAAACAATTTTCGCATAATTATATAAAGAAAATATAATAGTGATTATCTGAAAAATCAGTCATAATATAACATCATAGTTATTTAAGTTTAAAAAAAAATTTTCATGTTTATTAGGATAGTATTAAATGTATGATCTTTCGTTATTAACAATCTTTATGTATTGTAATTGTAATTATTTTTTAATCTAATTATTAATTAAATAAAAAAATTTTTTTCAATATTATATTTATTTTTAAGCCTTTTTTTTATAATATTGTTCTTTTTAATATTATTTCATATTATAAATAATGATTAAAAATAATTAGAATTAAAAATAAGAAAATAAAGAACATTTCCAATTGAAAATTTGAATTTGAATTTTCTTATATTTAAACTTATTTATATCCTAAAATTATTTCAAAATTATTTAAAAATAACTTTGTAATTAATATGAACTCAATACATATATAAATAACCGAACTATCGAACTTATTTAAAATTAAAGATATTCATTTATTAAATCAAGCAGCAAATTATTCTATTTAAGAACAAAAATTAAAATTTATTTTCTATTATTTGATTATAATCATGTTTTTTATATTCCTAAAAAATAAAATATAAAAAATATAATACTATTATTTTTATATTTTGTGTAAAAGTAATTGTATTCATACTAATTTCAATTAAAATAACTAAAATAATCCTTGTGTTCGAAACATAACAATTACATAATTATCTTTTACATATTCATATCTTGCATATGATACTTAAAATCGACCAATAGATGGTGCTGAGAATCAAATTCTCTCTCTTATTCTAATAATACTTTGTTGACTAACGTTATTTTTTTCTTTAAATACTAGTATAAAAGTTTGTTGAAGTCTTATTCTATCACGTATTGCTAATTTAGTCAAAGTGAACAAACGTGCGGTACAATATGTGGAAAACAGTAGGGATGTTAGGACTTTGTGTCGCTGGAATATCTATTTATTTATCGTAAGTTTATCAATGTTATAAAAAGATTAATATAAATTGAATACAATATCAGAAATATATAAGTATTTATTTATATAATTTTTATATAGAATATCTATCATAGATATCAATAGATATGTATATGATATATATTTTTTAATTGATCGATTTTATTTTATTTCATGTAAAAAGTACTCCTAATAATATTCAATCTTCATATATTTTTGTAAAAATTATAATTATATAATTTATTATTACAATTTTATATTATATTATAATTATATTTATATTTTAAATATAAAATGATTTATGATTTTAAAATTTTAATAAAAATCTTTTTCCTTACGTAAAATTAATATGATTCTTTTTAATATAACATATTTTTATTTTCTGAATTTTTTCATATATTCATTTATAATTCATGAATTCCGATTTGTATACGTAAGAAAAATGTAAACTTTATTTATACAAATTTATATATATAAAGAATTTATTCATATCATATAATAACTAATTATAAAATTTTAATATTATTTTTAAATATTTATAATTTTTATTTTACGTTTTACATTTAAAATTTATTATAAGAATTTAATCCTTTCATATCTATATATTATGTTCAAATATTTAAAATTCTTAGTATATATTTATATATCAAATTTATTTTTCAATTTTATTTGTATAATATCAACAAATATTGATTCATTCAATATATTATTACAAATTATAATAAATATTAGTAGCTTTAAATATTATTGATTAAAAATCAGTTTAATGCCGTTAATTGATTATAATAAATATAAATTCATCTTTAAATAAAATCAAAATCAATATTCATTAAATATAATTATATTGAATTTAGAGAAATTAATAAAATTCATAGTTATTTCATATTTTAAATTGAAAATGGAAGAGATACATTAAACATCAAAATTAAAAGTAAAAAAATTCTGATTTTTGAATCATTTAATTTTATACTATTATGATTTTGCAAAAAAAAATTATATAATAATTTGCTTAGAAATACTTTACACGATAAAGATTTTATTTTCACTTTATTAAAACAATTTTCAATAAAGATGTTTTCACATTAAAAAACGGAATGAAAAAATGAATATAGTCTTTTTTTTTCAAAAATTGTAAAAAATTAAATTAATTATGGAATTTGATAAATTTTTCTAAGATATAACGAAGAGTTATTTTAAATTTATAAATTCATCATTAGTCATTATTAGTAGTTTAAAGTCCATTCTTTAAGCGGATTCATAATTTAACAAGTAATTTTATTATAGTTTGAATGAAAAGTATGCTATCATCATTAGAATAATAAAAATTATTTTAAGTTTCTTTATTATTTTTCATTTACACACTTTTTGGTTCTTTCGATATACAGATTGTTTTATAATTTGATACAATAAATATATATATTATAAATACATAAATATATATAAATATAATATGATATAACTGAACAGAAAAAAAAAATCAAAAATATAAAAAAAAATTGTTTAAATTCTTGTTTTTGGAAAATCAAGATTAATCGTATATAATCAAGAAATAGATGAATTTTCAAATTCTTTCTCTTTTTTTGTTTTATTTATTTCTAATATTTGATCGAGTGATTAAAATCTATTTTATTATTAATAAATGTCATTAATAAATTTCTTATATTATTATCAATTTATTATTTATTTACTTCTTATTATCATATATTTGTATAATTAAACATATTTTCAAATCATTAATATTCTAAATAATATATAATAATTCATTTAATACATATAAAAACTGCTTATGCAACGGAAATAAGAAATGTCCAGTAAACAAAATTAATGAAAGATGGTTGTAGAAAATTATTGTTTTTATTTTACTTATATTTTAATCATTATTCAAAATCTAATTATTCTATTATTAATATATTTTATTTACATTAAAATATAAAATTCATTGATAATAATAATAATAATTATCAGTTTTGTTGCTTTATAAATACTTTGTAATGATATTTAATCGTAATGTTATCTAATCAAAAACTTGTAGTTATATAAATGATTAATTATTACTTTTAGAACTAAGATTAGATTTTTTAATTTCAAAAAAAAAAATACGAATATTTTAAATCATATTTCATCACTTGTCATGTTCTTAAATTTATGATATTCATAAAATACTTATACTATATGTATATAAATCGATTTTTAATAAGCATCATTATTAAAATATTATGTAAAAAATATTTATATATATAAATAAAAATATTTATATATAATCATTAATATATGAAAATATCATATTTTTAAATTATTAACTTGATTAGAAAATTATCATTTCATATTAAAAATATAAACAGAACAAAATAATTGGTTAATTATTACAAAATGATTATTAATTATAATAATATTTGTCAATTCGAATGATATGATTCTATATAATTTGATAACTGATAATTCTATAATTGAAACGCATAACGCTCATTTAAAAAAACTTATTTTTCAAGATGAATCTTATCTCATCTATCTTCTTTATTATTTGATGAAATACTTATATTTAGAAATTTAAAAAAAAAAAAGTATCGTGAATTCGATTTCATGAGGTCATGACTGAATTTTTTAAAATTATCGAGAGAGAGAGAGAGAGAGAGAAAGGGAGAGAGGGAGGAAGGGAGGGAGAGAGAGATTATACATAATTGTGAATATGAATAGCATAATATATTAAAAAGAATATAATCTATATTTATAATTTTACAAATATGTTTAATAATTTTAGTTCTGTGAATGAACTTAACGTTCCAACTTTACCGGAAACAAATTGGGGATCAAAAAAAAATGAAAAGGAATCTATAGAAATACGACCTTTCAAAATTGATGTATCAAAATCGGTAAATAATCAAATAAAATTATAATTTATTTTTGAATTCTAATTTTTCCATTCATTTTAACTTATCCAACTATTCTTTAAGCTTTTAGATGATTTGAAATATCGCCTGGCACACAGAAGAACATATAAAAAACCATTGGAAAATGTAGGCTGGACTTACGGTATTTCAACTAGATATTTGAATACGGTACTTGATTACTGGAGAGATAAATACAACTGGACTGAGAGACAAGCTTTGTTAAATAAGTATCCTCAGTTTATGACTACTATTCAGGGTAAGGAAAAAAATTTATGCATTTTTATAATTAATAAAAAATTTAATAAAGAAGAAATAAAATACGTAAAAATTTTAGGTTTGGACATACATTTCTATCATGTAAAGCCAACAAATTTACCAAATAATAAAAATTTAAAAGTTTTACCTTTGCTAATGCTACATGGATGGCCTGGATCTGTTGTGGAATTCCAAAAAATTATACCCATGTTAACAAAACCTTGGCCTAATCAGAACTTTGTGTTCGAAGTTATTGTACCGTCACTTCCTGGATACGGTTTCTCCGAAGGTGCGGTACGACCAGGCATGGCTAATGCTCAGGTAATATTGCACTTTCTGTTTTTACAGACATATAAACTAATGTATTTAATGATTTTTCTTTCAAAACTACTTTTTATTTAGATAGCTGTAATATTCAAGAATCTAATGCAGAGACTTGGTTTTGAAAAATTTTATGTTCAAGGAGGAGATTGGGGATCTATTATTGGTTCTGACATGGCTGTTCTCTTCCCAGAAAAGTTAGTAACTACAGTAACATAAAACTTTAAGAAAATTTAATATTATTTTTTTTTAGGATAATTGGTCTACACAATAATATGTGTACTTCTTTAAAATTATCTAATTTTTTCTGGTTATTTGTCGGTACCTATTTCCCATCGTTAATAGGAGCAAATGAACATTATTCAAAATTCTTTCCTGTGAGTGAAATTTTGTCCACTTTAATTGAAGAAAGTGGTTACTTTCATATACAAGCTACAAAACCAGATACTATAGGTATATATTTTGTTTAGGATATTCAAAACTTTAAATAAAATACATAAATTATTAGAAATTAAAATTTTTAATATTAATAAAACTTGTTCATCAGGTGCTGCATTGACTGCTTCACCTGATGCATTAGCAGCATATATTTTAGAAAAGTTTTCTGTGTGGACAAATAAGACATATAAAAAACAAGATGATGGTGGTATAACAGAAAAATTTATGCTGGATGAGCTATTAGATAATATAATGATATATTGGATCACTAATAGTATTACTACAAGTGTTAGACTTTATGCTGAAAACTATAGTTCATCATATAGATCTCTGAAAATTGACCAGTAAGTTAACGTATTTAATTTACAAATTTATAAATTTTTTATTTATACAAAGCATTTAAATGTACACATTTTATTTCAGATTGCCTATAAAAGTGTTTACAGCTTGTGCAGTCTTTCCCAATGAAATACTTATTCTGCCTGAAAGTTTGCTTAAACAAAAATACCCTAATATAATTCAATACAACATTATATCACGTGGTGGACATTTTGCAGCTTTTGAAGAACCCAGACTTTTAGCTGATGATATTTTCAGTTTTGTTAAAAAGATAGAGAACCTTACATCAAAATTCTCATAGAAGCAATCTTATTAAGAAAAATATTCAATAATTTTTATATATACATATAATTATTTATATATTTTTTTAAAATATTTTAATAAATTGTTATGTTTACTATTAAATACAAACAAGAGAATTATCTTTATTTATATTCATTGTATCATTTACATTTTAATATGATATTTCATAATATCAAGTAAGATTTAATCTAATTAACATAATCATATTTTATATATGTTTTACATTTCTAATATTACTTATGAGATAATAATTTATTACTTATACATTGCTAGAACCAGACTTTTCAATATTTTCTAGTAAACTTTGTAAATTAGTTTCAAACAATTCACATCTGATTGGCATTTCTAATGAATAAAAAGGATTTTTTAAAGCATAATCAGCATATAATTCATATACTCTTTTTAACAGAATTTCTATTCCACTTTGAGTGGGTTCTGCCACTACTATGAATTTTATTCCAGTTAATGTTTGATAGCAATGCAACCTGAATGTATCAGCTTCTAAAACTTCAATGCCAGAACAACGTGGTTCAGGACTTAATTGACTGGCAATTGCAAATAAAGGATAAAACATTGAGGCTAAAAAAATTTTTTCATTGGTTGTCATTCTAGCACGGCTAAATCTAAGTAATACAGGAAAATTTTCTGGTTGTTCTAACAGTTCAATCACATCTTTACCATTTTCTAATTCACGTCCTACAACAGGACTATTATTTACTGCAGTTAAAACATGACCCACTACAATAAATAAATAAAATATAATATATATAAATTTTATAATCTTTTAAAAATTAAAGAAATATTATTCTTACCGTTAATTCCTTCTTTTTGTCCAAATGAAACAACAATTTTTTTATTTTCATAATTTAATTTTATATCAAGTGGAAAATTAAATGTTTTTTCATTTTCGATTCGCGGAACATTATGATCATGATTAAAAATTAGTCCGCCTGATTTTGATACAATATAAACACCATAAATAACCATGATTAAATTTTTTCAATTTGCTATATTTATAATTAATATATTAATATATTATATATAATATAATAATATAATATTAATAAATATGCTATAATTAATTATCACTTTTTAATTATACATTGTAAGTTTTTTGAATTTATAGATATCTCAACTAATTGTATATTTACGATAAAGTTGTCAACATCAATTATTTTTTAGGTTATGTTATTTAAATTCACATGAAATTCACTAGTTGAATATTTAAATATTACTACTTAATTTCTATACTATTATTTCTAGTTAATTTTCAGTTAATTAATTTTAGTTGAAAATTTCAATGTTACTAGAATTTAGTTCTTATGATATCATCTATACTATACTTTATTTGCGAGAAAAGTTTTTGTTTATATTATGGGAGAGAATTCGCATTTTTCCCATAAAATTTATAAAAATGATCCTTTATTATTTAAAAGTTACATTGGTATGAAAGTGAACATTTTAACTGAAGATAATACTATGATATCTGGTGTTGTTTATACAGTTGATCCAGTATCGGAAAGGTTAGAATCGTTTATACGTTAATATTATTTAAAATTTTCAATTATTTCTTTATTCATAAATAATTTATAAGTTGTTTTGCAGTGTTGTATTGTTACAAGGCTGCCAACAAAATAATTTAAAAATCATATTTGGTCATGCAATAAAAAATATAAATATCTGTTCAAATCAATCATATGAATTACCAGAATTGTTTACAAACGCTCCAGTAAATATTCTTCAAACCACATTAGAGGAACGAAAAAATGCTGTGATAAAATTACTTCGAGAAAATAGATTCCCTGTAAAAGAACAAAATGACATTTTAACAATAGAAAATATACTTTCTATAAAACCACCATATGAACCTTCTGACTGCATATGCGATAATAGCATTATTTTACGAAGAATTCAAAGCTTTCTTTCTCGTATACAAATTTGAGATTTATGCTTTTTTAAAACAATATTTATACTCTTTATTTAATTGAAACATTAAATAAGTAATTATAAAAAAATACAAATTGTTTTAAAAAAATTGCTTTATTTTTTAAAATCTGAATTATATCTCTTTTTATTACCATAAAATATTTTATTTTTCGCACATCACATATCATCTAAAATAAAATTTTATTTGATATAAATTAATCGCACATGAAAGTGTTTCATTTACAATTGAATTGAATTTTAATATAAATATATAGATGCTTAATATAAATTTTCATTTTTTTACATATATATATTAATGAGAAATAAATCAAAATAATAATTTCTTACAAACTATTTCAATTTGTTAAAATAATACTCATTACTTTTTAAAAATAAATAATTAATTTAATAATTAATTCGTTTAGTGAATTATGAAAAAACAATGTTAAAAAATTTGTGCAATTTTATGAATTTCTTTTATAAATGAATATTATTCTATGATATATAATTGTTTAAAATCGAATAATTAATTATAAAATTATACTATCTGTGAAATTGTCTGAAATTATCACTATTAAAAATGTGCGCGTTTTTAGGTCTTATTTGGAAACAACTATTTCTATTTTTTTTTTTTTTTTAATGATGCTTGACTTAAAGAATGAAGAATAAAAAGAAAACTATAAAACTATAAAATTATTTTTAAAAAATAAATTGTTAACTATAATTTTAATATAATTATAATTTTAATAAAATATAAATCTATTTTAATTATCAAAAAAAAAAAGAAAAATATATGTATTTTTTTGCCTTAAACTTAAACTCTTTGCTGTGGTAATGGAAGTAAAAATCACTGTTTAGATATATTTTTTTTAATTCTAAAATTCTATTTTCTGTATTTTTATTATGAATAGATGAATAATTTTTAAAATTGAATATGTCAAGTACTTACTGTTCGTTTTGTGTGCGTTTATATGTATATGTGCGCGTATTATTAATTTTCTAAAGCATATACGTAAATATAGCAATGATAGAGAAGCAATGATATAAAAAATAGATAAATTTGTAAAGCTTTACACTGCTACATACAGTGATATTACATAAAATATGTACCACAGCAAAAGAGTTAAATTTTGATATAAAATGTTTGATATAAAATAAATGCAATTACAATAGTGCACCAACGCAGAATGCGTCAAAGAATTGAATATTCGAGGAAAAATCTTGCTTCGATTTTTTCATTTCTTTTAGAAAAATATCGAACTGTCTAGCTTCTCTACCGTAGGAAGAGGAAACTATTTCGGATGAATTTTACTTATTAAAACTACCTTGCATATCTAGAATCTGTTGGCATATCACAGCCACCGATATGTGTATATGCCTCTACGAGCTTGGTGCACGTAAAATAAGAGGACAACTGAACTCTGACGCATTTCTAACTTCTCCATTAATATTTTTTAATTCGTTGTACATTGTGCAAGAAGAAATTTGATATTTTTTTCTTCATAAAAATTTCTAATATCATTATAAATATCCAAGATGTAGAAGAAGTATTTTCTTCTAAAATTATTAATTTATAATTTTATATTTCACAATAATGATTTCAAGACGTTCAGAAATGATATTGTTTTTTTCTTATTTGTGATTTAATTAAAAGATATATGCACATCAATGGAAAAGCATATAAAAGAATGCGTGTAGAGTTCTTCCAAGGCAGTGTTTCTCCATAGAAATACCAGGCGCTTCTTTGGAGCAAAGTAAATATCCTAAAGAATCTATTTTTAGATAACAGGTCATTCGGCCTCACCATCGGAATAATATTCTATGGGGGCAGGATCGCGAGATTTACGAGAATATCTTAAACCCAAGAAATCTGCAAGACTTTCAATATGTAATAATACCTAAAGAAAAAAAAAGAGAAAAAATTAAAAATTTCAATTAGAAAATCGATGGCAAAAAATTAAATTAATAAAAAAAATATATATACTTACGTAATCTAATTGTTGTTTAGTATGTGCAGCAGAAAGACAAAATCGTATTCTGCCTTCCATTAATGGGGTTGCTGGAAATCCAACTCCAACTGCTGCTATGTTATATGTTGTTAAGGTTCGTACAACTGAACTATTAATTGGAATAAAAATTATAGTTTTAAGATTCAATTCATTATTTTACATTAAAATATTAATTATAATAATAATATTAATTATAATATATATTAACTAAATATTAATCTACATACCCTATTTTTGAAAACAAATAAACTAACATAGGTACAACAGGTGAATCTTCATTTCCATAAATGATAACTCCAATCTGATTAAGTCTACGTCTGAAGTATCTAGTGTTTCTCGCTAATTGTTTTGTTCTTCTTTTTCCATCATCTGTACCATCTTCCCCAGCTATTATTTTCATTGAAGTTATAATTTGCTGTGCTATTGGTGGAGACATAGCTGCCGCATAAGTATGTGCATGACTATGTATCCTTAAATGATTTATTAATATCTAAAAATATAGAATTATTATTGTTATATTGATATTATAAACATTGTGTTTTTAATTATAAAGATAACTTGAAAATTTTTTTACTTTTGTTCCGGCAATATAACCGCCAGCGGATCCAAAACTTTTTGTAAAAGTTCCCATAAGTATATCCACCTCTCGTGGATCAATTTCATAATAATCACAAACACCTCTTCCACGTTTGCCTAATGCACCTGTGCTATGAGCTTCATCCAAATAAAGATAAGCCTATTATATTAAATTAAATTTTAATATTTTCTAGATATATATTAGAATGGAATTATTATATATGCAAATAAATGTACATACTTTGTACTTCTTCTTGAGCTGCAAAATTTCAGGTAGATGTACAATAGAACCTTCCATAGAATAAACACCTTCCACTACAATCACTATTTTTTTCCAAGGTTTATGAGATTCTGGTTGACCAAAAACTATTGCAGTTTTCAAGCATTTTTCTAAATGCTTCATATCTATAAAAAATAAAATTCAATATTTAAGCTAAAAAATAAGTTTAATGAAATTTTTTTCAGTTTGTTATTTTATAAACTTACTATTGTGCTCAAATACTCTAACTGTAGCACCAGACAATCTCAATCCAAGTATTAATGAGGCATGATTTTTTTCATCGCTTAATACTAAACATCCCTTGCTCAATAATGAGGGCAAATTAAGAGCATTTGTAGCAAAACCCATTCCGAAGACTATAGCGTCCTCCACACCCAAAAACCTAGCCGTTAATTGTTCTAATTCTTCGTGAATTGGCATATTTCCTGGATTTAAAAAAGAAGTTAAAATAAAAATAATATATATTATTACATAAGATAAAATTAATTACCAAGTTCTAGACGACTACTGCAACTAGCACAACCAAATTTTTTCAAAGTTTCAATACTTTGATCAGCACATTTACCATTCGCTTCTGCAAAGCCTAAATAATTGTACGATCCTAAATTTATACATTCTGATGTCGTTCCCGTGAATCTGAATATCAAATTGGTAAATGAAAAATTATAATTTAACTTTAATTTATTTTAGTAGACTGTCATATATTTTATGTTATTTAAAATGCTAAAATGATGCACATATATATTAATCAATTTATTTTATGAAAATTAAGTTAAAAAAAATTAAATGAAATGTTCATTAATAAAAAATAAAATATTATATAATAAAGTAAGATTTCTACAAAAAATTGACAAAAATGAAGTAGAAGTAGAAATGTTTATAAAAATTAAACAAATAAATAAATGTAATAAAAAACAATGAAATTAATCGAAATCCATTTAATTTAATTTTCAAGTTATAAATCTGTTTTCTTGCTCAATCTCTGGTCGTCAAATCTCCTTGAGTTCTTCATTACATTTAATCAAGATAGATGCTTGCCTTCCTGTATCTCCAATCGAGTTGTTACGATTTTCGAATATGTGCATTTGAAATTGAATAACAATAATATCAAAATTAAAATTATAATAATTTCTATTATTTTATAATAAAAAAATTATAATATAATAGTTGTTATATAACTTTAATAAAAAAAACTATATCAAAATGGATTATATATAAATAGAAAATACTATGATTAGTAATTTCTTTTGTTTAAAATAAAATTGCATATAATTCTCAATTTGCATATAATTCTCATTTTAAAGATTTGTAATGTATTTTAATTTAAAATTGACGAATTATTTTTAAAATTTCAACTTACTGAAACGTCCATCCATAATCTTTTGTTATTCTATCCTTAAGTGTAACCGTGGCACCTGGAACAGAACATATTGGCCTGTTCCAACAATCCCTTACTCTCCTGTAAACGTATCGAAGATAAAACTCTTCGAAATGCTCATATAAAGATGCATAACCCTGGAAACAAATAAAATTGAATTAAATTTTTTTTTAATTAGTATTTATTTATATAAAAAAAATTTTAAAAATGATAAAAAATATTTAAAATTAAAATTATAATATATATAACATAAATATAAATAATAAGTTTTATGTAGAAAAATTAGTTTCTAGCATCGGCTGAAATTTCAAATTTATCATTTAAATATTTCAAGGCCGAACAATTCATTATCGGTCAAGCTGCTTTATAACATGCCATATACGGCTATACAGTAATGCGTAGCACTATTCTAACAAATAGAAAAATCAGTATAATAGAAAAATCTATAGAACATTTCAAAATAAATGATATAATATAAAAAAGATTTTAATATATCAATATGAACGTAATTTAATTTAAATTTAAAAAATTTGATTCTTTTGAATTATATTTTTTTAATGCTTTATATATTAATCATTGTTTTAAGTTTAAATTTATATAATGAGTTTCCTTTAGAAAAAATTTTATTTGATATTATGATATATAAATAATATTAATAATTTTTAATTGAATGAGTCATATCATAAGATTTGAAACGTATTATATTTATTATTATTACTTAAACGTTCATTTATATGATAAAACGAAAGAAAGACTTTTGTTTACAAAATGTAAGCGCAAATTTTCTATTTTTCTTCTTTTTTTTTTACTAATAGTTGGTAATTATTTGTCAAATATCATTTTTATATCCTAGATTTATATTTTTTTAATATTATAAGTATATCAAGAAAGATTAGATATCAAAAGCTTCATTTCTGACGCTTCTGTTATTCTAAGATGATAAAACATTTCTAGAGATTTCGTAAAAAACTATTAAATAATATTTATTTTCACAAGTTTTATATTTTCATATTTCCCTTCGTTATATATCATTTAATTATTAATCATTTTATATAATTCTCAATAATACACACGATTAGGATAATTAATTAGGATATAATTTAAAATTATTGTCATTAATTTTTTACATGTATCTCGATAAATCTTATCATCGAAAGTTTTTTTACCTTTTAATAATAAAATAAGTATATATATATATATATTATAGTAATAAGTGTATTGTAGTTAAAAATTGTATTTAAGAAAATTAAAAGCGTAAAAAATCATAAAATCGTTTACTCCGCTTGAAAAAATCTTTGAATGCATAAGTTTTATAATTATGATTGTTTTAAGTTACAATCAATCGAATCTTTCTTTCTCGTGAACAATCGTAATTCAACTCGAACGGAATCGATTTAATTTTTCTTTTATGCGATTCTGTTTCTCGATTACTTTTCATTTTTGACTTAATTATTATTTCATTTTTTTTTCATTATACATTAATAATATTTGAATCAATTCCATTTTTTATATCTATTTTTAATTAAATAATATTTTCAAATCATTGTTTATTAATTTCATCTCAATCTAAACCAAAAATATAAATTGATTTATTATCTTAATTTATAAATTGATTTATTTTAATTTTACTAAGACAAAGATAAAAATATATATAAAAAGTCAAGGATTTTTTAAATTTTTTAACTTAAAAAATTCCACTTTTTGAATTTGATTATAAAAACATTCTATGTTTATAAATTCTTACATTTTTACAAAATAAAAAAATCGATAAATGATCAAATTAAAAGATATTTTAAAGATATTTCAATTTCAAGTTATTTAACTAATTTTTAAATATTTGTTTATTCTTACCTCTCTATTGTATTCTTTTGCAACTCTTGGGGTGAAAAGTAATTGATTTATAAAACCCAGAAACATAAGAATACAGAATCCTAAATGGGTCAATACTGCAGTAATAAATGGTATTCTTTCGAATGACTCCTTTGATCTTAATTTCGTCGGTTTCACCTTTGTTTTTTTCTCTGGAAACTAAATAAAATGTTTTAAACACATTTATATTTATAATAAACTCTTAAATACTGAACAAAAAAATATTTTACATATATTACGCATTACATGTATAGTAATGTTCTGTTTAAATCTTCGAAAATGTTGATATTGAAAAATCTTTTAAACAAAAATTCAAAATGTGAATAATCTTATAAATATCTTATGAATATTTTCTAATTATAATTAAATGTATAAAAGAATATATGATTTAACTAATTTTATAAAATTTATTGTACATCGAAGATAGAGAACATATACAAAAATACTGCATTGCATCTTATATTTTATTCAAATTGAATATTGAAATTTGTTTGAATTTTTAATTTAATCAGCATATTTATTTAAGATATTTTTCAATATCATCAATAGTATGTGGATATTTGAGTAAATCAATTTAAATTAAGCATTTTATATATAGATTAATAAATAAAAATTTATTTCTATTTACTTTATTAAAAAAAATATTTCTTAAAAAATATGAATTTTATATTACATTACATTTAAAATTTTTGAAAATATGTTGATCCTAAATTTTTAAATAACATTGTATATTTCTTTCAGTACTGTATTTTAATTGATAAACAAATAAATTCAAAAATTTGTAATTAAAGTGACCTTGAAGTAAACAAGGACAAGAATGTATTGAAAATACATACGTATACTGTATCGGTTACTGCAGAGGTGATGAACTGGTGGTTTACGAGCCGCATGCGGCTTTCTCCCCTACTTGCTCAAAATCAGACTGCAACTGACCTATTCGAAGTTTAAAGTACGTGGATTTTTTATAGACCAATAAATACACATTCCAATTATTACATATGTTATTATGTAGCATGAATTGATTGATTCATTATTAAATAATATTGCTTCATTTTATTCAAGATTAATTTAAGGTCATTTTAATACAGATTGTCGAATTCATTTATTTTTTTTTGGCTATAATACAGTATTAAAAAAAATATGTAATGTTATTTAAATAATTAAAATCAATTTGATATTTCAAAAAATGTAAAATAAAAAATAAATATGCTTTAATTTAACAATTTCTTTTTAAATATGTGTTTCATAGAATTAAAACATTTTTTTATAAAATAAATAAGAAGATATTTTTTATTAACATCTTATATTTTATTATATTTAATAGTATCCAATAATTCCATTACATAAAATAAAAAATAATTTCAATTATTTAAAGTTTGTTTAGAAATAATGTTTAGAAATATATATTTAGACATAATATAATTATATTATTATATTAAAAATAAGATGGACAGAAAATATATATAATGTTGTTATCATAAGGTTTCAATATAAAAACTAAAAAAAAAAACCGATAAAATAAAAATTTAGTTTTTAGTTTTTATACAAAAAAAAATCAAAAATCTTAAAATGAAATGTTAGTAATATTTAAAATTATTAAAGCTGTTTAAATTATATTTTTTTTCATTGGAAAATATATTTTTCTATTGTTATCACTTCTTGTAAATTCTAATTTTGCAGTTTAATAAGCCAATATATAAAATATTAATATATTATATAAAATATTATACAAAATTGACACTTATAAATTGACACTTATAAATATATTATGTTAAAAGACATTTTAATTTGATTCATAGATGATAATCATGAAAAAAAATTTTCAATAAGATGAAACTGCATTATTAAGAAAATAAAAAAAGTTTTTTTAAATAAAAAATTTGCAGTGGTTTTCATATTTCTTCGACCTGATTGTAATAGAAAACAAAAATATAATATAAAATAAATATAAATATAATATAATAATAAATAAACAAAAATGGAAAACAATATGGCAATATGAAATTAAAAAATAAAATAAAATAAAAATGAAATCAAATCGTTAAACATTATAAATATTAATTTTTATTAGAAAATAAAATATATGAAGTTATTAAATATAATAATCGAAGTATCAATTATTAATATTATAAATATACTTTTTTTTTAAATTTATTAGGAAAAAAAATTATTTTTATATAAATTTCATTATTATACATTATACATTAAATACACAATTATACATTAAATTGTTATATTTTATTTATATATAGCAAAAATAATTCGATTTCCTTTAATTCTAATCAATTTTCTTATTAATCTTTTTTTAATCATATTATAATATTTAATGTTTTTGTTAAAAATATTTTTACAAAAATTTCAACACTATAATTGCTTTAATTTATTGATATTATTTTAAAGTTTATTGCGTTCGTAATTAATTTAATATACATTTTTTTTTCTTAAATTTAATTAATTTTATTATTAAAAATAAAATTTTAAATATAATAAAAATTAATATTTGAAATCTGAATAATTTAATAGATCAAATGAAAATATGATATAAATATGATTTTTAAATTTTTGTTCCTGTTTTCAAATTTTTTACTTTAACTGATATTAATTATTTAATGAGAATATTAAATTCTCTAAATTTTGAGGTTAGTTTTGAAAAAATATTACAAACTATTGAAACGTAATAAAAGTTCATATTTTATATTATTACTTTTTTTTGATAATTGCAAATATTTTTTTGGCAATTGATATTACAATATATTTGTAATATATATTTTTTTCATTGAAATTGATATCTATAATTTTGTTTTCTATATTATGATCATTGATAAGAATTAGGTTAGAAATATATACGTCGAACTGATAATCAGGTCTTTGATTATATATACTTGAAAAATACGAAGAAAAAAATTAAAAAAAAAATATTAATTAATATGACAAATGCGTAAATCTTTTTAATTATCATATTTAATACGTTATATCAGTCATATTGAATGCAAAATTTAATTTTTAATTATTCATTTATTAGAAACAACTCACTTATTTAAAAAAATTAAGCCTTATAATTAATTACAAATAAAAAATTTCTTCTTATAAATTCGTTTTATTACATTATCATATTTAAAGGCATGATTAAAAATTAATAATTAACTTGATTTTTTCAATTTGATTCGTCTAATAAATTCAGTTCTTGCCATTAATATTATAACTATATCGCGAAGTATTTCAACAAATATTCTATGTACAAATAACATACAAAAACATTATTAAAAATCATTAATATGAAAGTAATAAGTAAATAAAATGATATTTAATTCAGTAAAATAAAATTAATTAATGTTAATTTAATAATAATTATAATATCAAATATATGCTTATAAATATTATATAAGAAAAGAGGACTGTTTTATATTGCAATTTCTTGAATTGAAAGTTATTCGATATATCTTACAAATAATCGAAATATAATTAAACACATTTCGTTTGCTCATATGACAAATTTTAGATTTAATTTTTATATACTTTCTTAATAACATTAATATTAATGCACATTTAACAAAATACTTTTGCTACTAACATTAAAATACTAACATACTAACATTAAAATTAAATTAAATTGTATTATATAACGAAATAAAATATATTTAAATCAAAGACATAAAAATCAATAATCATAAACATTATACTAATTTTTAAACGAATTTTAATTGTCTCAGAAATTTTATTTGATAAACTGAATTTTAAAATAAACGCGTGACAGGTAATGATCTAACCTGTACACGTCCATTGCTTTGTAAATCAGCATGGCCGTTGGCTAGGATGTCCTCGTGAAAGGTTAAGCCGTTTCTGCTTATTTTCTGCTCGTATGTATTTAGTCTTTTCCGGATGATAGCCTGAGTCGCCATATTGCAAAGGGCGAATCTTTCACTAACCGTTGTAGGACCGGAGAGAGAAGAGAGAGAAAGAGAGAGAGAAAAGAGAGAGAAGGAGAAAAAAGAGAGAGTAAATGCGTCAGTACAATACGAAGAATAAGCAAAGACTGACGCTCAAGTAAGCCACGCGTCGCGATCACGATACTGGTTGCGCATGCGCTTCGATTTTGCTGACTCTATGACCGCGATTTATGGAGAAATATAGGGATAACGCAAGAACGTACGAGTATGCGCATGCGTACAAGTTGAATTAGCCTGATTATTCTTAAGATTAATATAATTAAGAACAGTAATAATTTTAAATTAATTTTTGTAAATTAAAATTAATTTACTCTTTTTTATATTTGATAATTATAAGCTATGTTATATGATACATTATATATGCTAATAATATACGTCTGTTTATGTTTATTTAAGTTATGATTTATAAGTTATATAAAAACCAATACACATATATTAAATTAGATACATAATTTGATCAAAGTTAAAAAGAAAGAAGATAGTAAAGAAAGAAGATAAAAGAAAAAGAAAAAGAAAAAGAAAAAAGATAAAAGAAAAGAAGATAAAAAGAAAGAAGATAGTAAAGTTTATTAAAATATTATAAAAAATAATTTGTTTATATTAAATTTTCTCTTAAAGCTTTGATAATAAATATTTTTTTAGTTTTGATCAAAAAATATTTTTAATGCAATATTTTTAAAATTTATTTATTTTTTAATTAAATATTTTACAAAATTTAATTATTATTCATCACTATGAAATTGTAATTTCAATTTCAAATTGTGTAATTTAAAATATTGTACATGCGTACTAATGTTTTGCATGTACATAATGAATGTATAGAATTAAACGTTGTAAAGAAATGTGTATTTGATACAATTCAAACGAGAAATTATCGGTAATCATCAAATAATTTTTCGATACTTTTTTATTCAAATTCCATCGTTGACGAATCATATTCGAGGATCAGTTTTTTTTCAGACATCATTAAAAGTCGAAAATATTTATAATTTATAATTAGTAAATAAAATGTTTGTAAAAACAAATTGTAATTTCAATTAATTATTATTTTACAAATTTCTCAATTTACAATTATAATTTGAAATAAATAACATAATATTAAAGTATACAAATGTAAAAATATTTTTATTAATATAAAGGTAATATTTGTTTATTTATCTGAAAATTGAAAATCTTATTATAAAAAAATACAATGGTGATATATATGTAAAGAACAACTCCATTACATATAAAATTGTACTCAAGCATAATTTCTTGCAAGATAAATTACAAAACTGAATTAGAAAACATTATTAAAAAATTTAACTTCTCAAGGAATTCTATTCTATTGAATATAGTAATTTTGTGATCAGTATTAGCATTGTTTTAGATATTCATTTTTATATTGATTTCAAAACATATTCTTTTGATATTCATATTGATTTTGAGCTACAACATAATTAAATTAGATAAACAAAAATAAATTTTGAATCAAAAATTTTTCAAAGTTGAGTACTTTTATAAATTTAAATTAAACAAAATTAATAATCTTTCATTGTTTTTAATATTTTTTTATTATTATTTAATAATATGCTATTAATTAATAATATATTACAGGTATAACATATTATCGCATCTTATTAAGATTACATCATAAGATTATCACATACTTTTAATTTTTCCAATGTGACTCATTGTCCTGACTGACAAGTCCCCTCCTATTCCTTCTTTGCAAAATTAAGTGGTGGGGACAACCAACTTAATTCTTATTGGTTCGAAGTCAGGAGCGAACATTACGTATCAGATCCCTTAATAATAATATTATGTAGTTTTAATATTTTTTTTATTATTGTTGATGTATAAAATTTATTTATTTTTTTTTTAATTTAATAAAAATAAATAATATGTAATATATTATATTAAAAATTTATCATAAAAAAAGGATGCTAGAATTATGATAATTATGATATGTTAATATATATGTATATGTAGATATGATATGTAAATTATTTTCATTATTATATATAAAATTATAAATTAAAAATATATATATATATATAATACATAAATATAACTCAATATTAAAACTTCTAAAAATTTTTATTTTTGCGTTTATTGTCACCCAATATATATACATTCCTGGTACAGACAGGAATAGTGGGGCAGAAACCCTCTTACGCACACCCCGTGAGATATTCCGTCGGAGAACATGCTTCAGAATCGAATCTACCTGAAATAGTGAACGTTAAACCAGTTTTTCATTTTCAATGTCCACTGCTTATCGTTAATCTTTGAATGTGCATCGTTTTAATAAAAAATAAAAAGTTAAAAAGAATAGAATAATTTTTTTAATATTAAAAAATTCAAAAAAGTGAAATTATATAAAAAAGGTAATAAAAACGCAGTGAAACATCAACGTTATAATTGCAAATTACAATTATTTACAAATACTATTTTAATTGTTAAATATTTTAAAAATTATATTAGAAAAAAATATTAGAAAATTACAAAGAAAAGAAAGAATATTGAAAGTATTCTAAAGAAAAGTCAAATTCTATGACAGGATAACACTCCTCGCGTGCAGCAAAGATGGCCGAGTTAAAGGAGCAACCAATCAGAAGGGAGCACGATTCGATGGACGATTTTGAGCATCTCGAACACGTCCAGGATGGACAATCAAGTCATCTTGAAATTCACAACGAGAAAATAGAAAAGAGTTCGAAAAATAATTTCGATATGGAACAGGATATGATTAATTTTTCCTCTAATCAATCATCAAACGAATTAGAAGATCCTAGAAAAGCGACAATGTTACTATTAGAGTCAGAGAAAGAAAGACCGGCTGAAGAAAATAACTTTGAGGTTAGATCAAAGGAGCTCGACTTCTTATCAAGTAAAATAGATGACCAATCGGAGGTTATGACGATTCAACCGGTTAATAAAAAAGAAGAAGAGAAACAAGAAATTGCAGAGAAAGAAGAGGTTAAGGAAACCAAGATTCCGGATCGCGAATCAGAAATCGTTCTTAATACAGAGAAAAAAATAGATAATTCATGGAATATTATCGAAAAATCTCCAGTTCCGGAATCAATTTTGAAACCGGAGAAAAGAGAAGAATGTGTAAGTGAGAATGTGCTTGCTGATATAGAGAAAAAGGAACGAATCAGTGCAACAGAAACTGGAGAATCTGAATTTGAGTCAGAAGTTGAGGTATCTCCAGTAAAAAGTTTCAAATCAGTAAAACAGGAAGTGAAAAGAGAACCAGTGGAAGAAGTGGAAATTGCACCGAAGGAGATATTTAGTAGTATGGGAATAGGTAAGTAAATCTAGTTTTCTATTTTATTGGAATTTTATAAAAATAGCAATATAATTTTTATATTTTTATATTATCATTATTATTATCTAGTAAGTTAAAAAAAATAGTTAAATCTAATATACTTTTTTTGTATTTTATATATATTAAATATTAAATATTTTAGAAGTAATACTCATAAATATTAATAATTAATAACCTACAAAGTTCCGAAAGCATAAAGCGATTAGTGTGAAATTAATTTAGCATCTTTGCACGAAGTGAACTTCCGGTTAGTTACAATATCATTGTTATTTTGAACAGTAATAATGTGATTAGTTATTTTAGATACATCATATCCCTTTTCAAAATATCTTTATTCTCTTTCATTAGCTTATAGCAATAAAAAATTCCACAAAAAATATCTCATATTAAATATTTTACTTTGAATATATTTTTTTGAAATGTATTTAAGAAAATAATGTTATCGTTATACCGTTACTTACGTACAACTGTACATCAAATAACGGTAATTGAAGATTTTACGCTTGAATTTCTATGTAGATTAAATGTTTATGATTCTTATTATACCGCCATTATGTTCTTAAGAATTTTAATAGATTAATGTTATTTTTTTTATGATTATAATTTTTATATAATGTTTATATGCATGTAATAATTAATTGTAAAATGATTAATTTTTATCCATTAAATTTAATTTGAATAAAATGATAATAGCCAAGTAACGAATTATCGATTTTTGAATATATGTAGGTGTATAAAAGTTGAACAAAGTTATAAGTATACAAAGTTGAACAACTATGTATGAGTAATTATATGACATGCGTCAAATGATGTAATATTTTTAGCTTTTTTGTATTATCAATTTTTATTGTTTTTTATTTAAATAATTCAAATAATCCTTTAAATACTTTAGCTTTTTAATATCGAAATTTTTATTGAAAAATAATATAATAAATATGTTATAAATAGTATTATATTGAACAATAGCTAGAAAAAATTAAATATTTTATGTTTTTCATAGAATAATTATTTCTTCAAGACTTTATATATTGATATTTATTAAAAATAAAATATGAATTAAGTGAAATTACATGTTACCACATCACATGTCACCATAGAAGAAAAATGAGTATATTTTGTATATGGTTTCTATACTATGGATCGAAGTAACTTGTATCTTCTCTCTATATTGATCCATAGCAGAGATACCTTACGACCTCTTTTGATAGAACCAATGGGTAAAGCCAACCCATGGGAGAAAATATTTTGCATTAAAAATATATTTTATAAAATAAATTATTAATAATAAATAATATATTATATAAAATGTTAAATTGTTTAAATTTATATCAACAAAATCATATTAATTCAAAATTATCTTTTGTAAGCATGAAATAATTTTTTCATTCTTCTTGAAGATATTTTTATACATGATTTCAGAACGAAAAATTCCATGTGTCTGAGTCATGAATTATTTTCATCGTCATACATTATTATAACATATCACGTTTTTCTTGTTAATTATATTAAAATAAAAGCGAAATAATAATTTTATTTATTATAATATATTAATAATCATCTTATAAATTTAGAATGTAATTAAAAAAAAAATTTAAAAAGCTTATTTTAATTAAAAAAAAAACTACACATTTTAATAAATTTAAGAAATGTAAATTGTATACAATATTTTTTTTTAATTTTTCTCAAACAGATATAGACAATCAATTTATTGAACAAGTTTTTTTTTAATAATTTTTTTTATATATATTTATTTCTATTTAAAGTCTTTAGATAGTTATATTTTAAATTTCGCGTCATCTATCGTCTTACTTTGGAACTCACTAGATTTTCTCACTATAAAACGCGCCATCTTTTATCAACGAAAACAACTACTTGTTTTTCATTCGAAGCCTTATCGCTTTTCAGTGCGTAGCAATGGCGCATTGGGATGGTGGGGATATCTGGAACTGTCCATGGGTCGATAATACTAGTTAGTCTCGTTCTCACCTCGAAGCATAGTGTATCGTTAGGAAGTTGCAATATAGAAATTAAACGGAATATTTTATTTTCCTCAGAATTTGTTTTAAATCATTTTGTGCATTAAAACAGACGAAACAAATCAAAAAGATTTATTTGAATGTGCGTAGAGGATAAAATCAGTGAAAAATAATAAAAAGGTGAAAAAAAAAAAAAAAATAAAGAGTTTGAATCGAAAAGTGCGTCATTTACAACTATCGGCTTGAATTGTTAAGCTAGTGTTCGAATGCAAGTCATCTTTGGTTCTATTGAAACGCAAGGTTAGGAAAAAATGAGAATGGAGCCGGCATGTCCTATGTCTCCTGGGAAGGAGAAAGAAGATGCTACCGCGGTTTGCAAGGAATCATGCTTCGTTGTAGCCAATGGCAATTCTTGCTTCTGGAATATTCTTGATCCATGTATGTTCATTTTTCATATTTGTTTTTGACGTAAGATGAAAGATGTAAAGTATTTAAAATAATATAAAGCACAAGTCATGTACTTGTTTGACGTAGGAAACGAATTGCAATTCATAATCAGTAGAGTGCGTATTAGTCGCAACAGTAGCTTTACAAGCAAATGACAGATTATTATATTGTATTATATTATATTATCTAATATTATATATATTATACTATTTATATTATATATTATATAGTAGAAATAAAGGATTATTGTATAAAATAAATATATTTTAAAAGAAAATATATTATAATACTTTACATTGTAAAATTTATTGAGTAATTTAAATATTATTTAAATATAAAAAATTGGATATTCTTAATTAAAAGATTAATAAAACTCAGCTTTCTTTTATTATTTTAGAACAAGTACCAAAAAAATATGATAAAAGAAAAGTATATTAATACTATTATTGTATCTTAAATTTAAATATCAAGAAATTTCCTGACATAATGTTCAACAATAAAATGTAGAAGAAATGTATATTTCAAAAGAAAATATTGCAGTCAATCTTAATTTTAAAAGGCTGATTTATTATAATAAATAGAGTTCTTTGTTTGTTTTATAAAACTTATATTAATTCCTACATAAGTTAATTTATTAATAATTTGTTTTTCATTAGTAAAATATTTATGAGTAATGAGTATTTTATATATATATATATATATATATATATATATAAAATATAATAAATAAATATATATATATATTGATAAATATATTGATAAATATATTTTTGTATTATTTTTGTTATTATAAATTCATGTTTTTTATTTTTTATTATAAATAATTATAGCATTTTTTAATATTTCAATTTTAATATTTTTACGTTTTCATGAAAAAAAATTAAAAAGGATTAAAATTCATTTTAATCTTATTTAGAATTAAAATTTATTAGTAAATATAATAAAATTTGATAAAATTAATTTAATTAAAAAAAATTTAATAATACATGTATAATATATGATCTATTGTACTTTAAAAAGCTTTCTTTCTTCCTTATAAAAGAGGAGAAATATACATATAAATATACTATGATATTATTTCTGTATACTTTCTATTTATATGTTTTTTTTACTTAAAAATTATTATTCTTAACTCATTGATTTTATTTTAATTTGGATATTTTATAAAGCTAGTTATTTTAATTATGCTTTTAAAAATTTTATTTTCTCTTGATCTTAAAATTTATTTTCTAAAAAACAAATTACAGATTACAAAACAAATTACAAAATACAGATTATAAAAGAAGGGAAAAATTGCTTAACTTTAGAATATAAATGGCTGCTCTTATTGCAGAAGCCTGATTGTTTTCGTTGAAATATAAATTATATACATTATCAAGAAAAAAGTAAGTAAAAAGAAAGCACAAAAAAAAGATAAAAAATAGATAATTATATAGATCCGGGTGCATCGACTATTTGACATGCGCAGAAGAAACGCGATTTGCAAGAGGATTATTGATCGTCGACTATCGGTTTTTATAAATATATTGTACATTCTACATTGTAAATAGCAATTTTTGATAACAAAAAGAGGAAAAAGAAATATTCGAATAGATAATTCTAATATGCCTAAAAAAATGGAACAAATATATACTTATTGCTTAAAAGATGTTATTACTTTATTAATTATTTATTTTATATATCGATATATTAAAAAATATATTAAAAAAATTGAAAAATTATTTTTCATATTTAGAAATAAAAATAAATAATTAAAGAATAAATTATAATTTTAAAAATGATACTTTTATTTATTGTTTATTATTTAATAATTTAATTATCTTATCATAAAATAACATTAATAATTTGATTTTTTAAATAACTTTATATTGCAAAGAAACTTTATATCGTTATATAAATTGATATGATTTTTTTATTATTTAATTTATATATTTGATTGACAATAATCACAAAAAAATTATAATTGAACTAATCCTAAAAAAATAAAAAATTACTTTTAAAATTCGTTTAAATAAACGTGGTCTCATATTATTAAGAAATTGTATTTTAAAAAAAAAAAATATTTTATTACATAAATTTTATCAAACAACTGTTTAATTCTAGTTTTCGGATTATGGATTTATAAAAAATGAAAAATATATAATTGTGTAAACAATGTCTGTAAACAAATTCAAAGTATTATTTATCGAAGAAAATCACGAATACGAATTTTAAAAATCATTAGATTGAAATGTATAGATATCGAGATAGGAGAATATTATTTATTGAAGAAAATCACGAATACGAATTTTAAAAATCATTCGATTGAAGTATATAGATATTGAGATAAAAAATATTAATTATCGAAGAAAATCACGAATATAAATTTTAAAAATCATTCGATTGAAGTTCATAGATACCAAGTTAGAACTCGAGGCCAAAGATTGCGCAATATATTCCGGTACGTTAATTACATCAAGTGCTGTCAATCATTTACTATTTAAAAACATCATTTTTTCTTCTAAAAAAAATCGCTTAAAAAATCTTATAAATAATATCCAATTTATATATTAAAAA